ACCTCCTCAATCTCACCGGCACGTCTTCCACTGAGGAAGCGGAGCCTGGGGACACTGGGTCGGGCCTTGCAATCTCTGGTGCTGAGGTCACGAAGGTGGTTAAATAGCTCCTCGGTGGCATGGCCCCAGGGGTGGATGAGATTCGCCCAGAATTCCTTAAAGCTCTGGATGTTGTAGGGTTGTGTTGGCTTACGCGACTCTGCAATATTGCGTGGACATCGAGGGAAGTTCCCCTGGATTGGCAGACCGTGGTGGTGGTCCCCCTATTCAAAAAGGGGGACCATAGAGTGTGTTCCAACTACAGGGGAATCACGCTCTTAAGCCTCCCTGGTAAGGTCTATTCGGGGGTTCTGGAGAGGAGGGTCCGTCGGATAGTCGAACCTCGGATTCAGGAGGAGCAGTGTCGGTTTTCGTCCTGGCCGTGGAACACTGGACCAGCTCTACACTCTCAGCAGGGTCCTGGAGGGTGCGTGGGAGTTTGCCCAACCAGTCTACATGTTCTTTGTGGACTTGGAGAAGGCGTTAGACCGCGTCCCTCGGGGGGCCCTGTTGGGGGTACTATCGGAGTATGGGGTACCAGGCCCTTTGATACGGGCTGTTAGGTCCCTGTATGACCGGTGTCAGAGCCCGGTCCGCATCGCCGGCAGTAAGTCGGGCTTGTTCCCGGTGAGAGTTGGACTCGGCCAAGGTTGCCCTTTGTCACCGATTCTGTTCAAAACTTTTATGGACAGAATTTCTAGGCGCAGCCAAGGTGTTGAGGGGATCCGTTTTGGTGGCTTTAGGATTGCGTCTCTGCTTTTTGCAGATGATGTGGTCTTATTGGCTTCATCAGATCGTGATCTACAGCTTTCGCTGGAGCGGTTCGCAGCCGAATGCGACGCGGCCGGGATGAAGATCAGTTCCTCCAAATCCGAGGCCATGGTCTTGAGCCGGAAAAGGGTAGAGTGCCCTCTCCGGGTCAGGGAGGAGGTCCTACCCCAAGTGGAGGAGTTCAAGTATCTTGGGGTCTTGTTCACGAATGAGGGAAAAATGGAGCATGAGATCGATAGGCGGATAGGTGCAGCGTCTGCAGTGAAGCAGGCGCTGTACAGGTCTGTCGTGGTGAAGAGAGAGCTGAGTCAAAAGGCGAAGCTCTCAATTTACCGATCGATCTACGTTCCCACCCTCATCTATGGTCACGAGCTTTGGGTTGTGACCGAAAGAATGAGATCTCGGATACAAGCGGCCGAAATGAGTTTTCTCCGCAGGGTGTCTGGGCTCTCCCTTAGAGACAGGGTGAGAAGCTCGATTATCCGGGAGGGACTCAGAGTAGAGCCGCTGCTTCTCCACGTCGAGAGGAGCCAGTTGAGGTGGCTTGGGCATCTGTTTAGGATGCCTTCTGGACGCCTCCCTGGTGAGGTGTTCCATACACGTCCCACCGGAAGGAGGCCCAGAGGAAGACCCAGGACACACTGGTGGGACTATGTTTCTTGGCTGGCCTGGGAACGCCTCGGGATTCCCTCGGAAGAGCTGGCACAAGTGGCTGGGGAGAGGGAAGTCTGAGCCTCCCTATTTAGGCTGCTACCCCCGCCACCCAACCCCGGAGGAGCGGAAGAAAATGGATGGATGGATGGATGGATGGGTTAGGTGTTGTGTGTTCCACGTGGCCAATGTAGACAAAGGTACAGACTGGTGATGCTGCTCGATCTGCATAGACAAACTAAAAGCAAAGAACACAAGCATTGCTGTGCCTTTAAACTTGGCTCAGTCAGTCAGTCCCACAGACACATGTGGCCCCAGTGACCTATTGGATAAGGCACTGGCCTCCTAAGCCAAGGATTGTGGGTTCAAGTCCCATCTGGGATGCATAGCAGAGTGGCGCAGCGGGAGCGTGCTGAGCCCATAACCCAAAGGTCGATGGATCGAAACCATCCTCTGCTAAATCTATATTTTCATTAGAAATATCACACTTGGATTACTTTGAGTTACCAACACTACTCTCGACTTTATTCACAAACCTCAACATACTTGTCACCTCCAATTACCAAATGTTCACACTTTAAATCACTCCATTTCAATAGCTTAACATCTGTTAAAAAAAAACTACCTATAAAACTAATCCCAAGTGCAATTCACACTTGAAACAAGATAAAGCCACCAGCCAAATACATATTGTATAATGCTGCCCAGCTACATCATCCACCATTACCTGAAGACAAATCTGCTTTCTTCTCTTATGATGGTCTTTTTATACAAAATTTCAGTCATATTAGCTATGGTAGAATATTTTACCAACACCAAATATCCTAAAAGTCATTGTGGAAGCTTTCCCTATGGTAAATGTCAATTATGCCCATTCAAAAGCTCGGAAAAACTATAATTTCAAAACTGTACTGCATATGTGTTGCTAGCATCCATGTTTATATGTGGAACTGATTGCCGTCAGGGTTTGGAGTAAAGTCAAGCCTATATTACATCTGGTAGCTAGATGCTCTTTTCTGTATTTGTAACAGTGTCACTCAAAAAGATGATTTCCCTTTAATAATATTTCCTACAGCATTTTTCAACTTTGTCCAAATTGTACACAATAACTTAAATGCAAGCGTGTCCTTGATCCAGGACATGCTGGAGGACTGCAAAATATTGACCTAAGTCAACAACTCTGAGGCTTTGTGAATTACCCTCATAAGGGTTTGGTGTTGTGTGTTCCACTTGGCCAATGTAGACAAAGGTACAGACTGGTGATGCTGCTCGATCTGCATAGACTAACTAAAAGCAAAGAACACAAGCATTGCTGTGCCTTTAAACGTGGCTCAGTCAGTCAGTCAGTCAGTCCCACAGACACATGAGGCCCCAGTGGCCTAATGGATAAGGCACTGGCCTCCTAAGCCAGGGATTGTGGGTTCAAGTCCCAACTGGGGTGCATATCAGAGTGGCGCAGCGGAAGCGTGCTGGGCCCATAACCCAGAGGTAGATGGATCGAAACCATCCTCTGCTAAATCTATATTTTCATTAGAAAT